GAGAGCGGGACCCTACCCAGAGAAGCAGTGATGCCTGAGATGGAGGCAGAGACGATGATGTGGAGAGATGGAGCAGCTGGGGACTTTAGATCCAGAGAGGGAGAAGGGCTGTGTGCTGATGACCGGGGTGTAGGCTTGTAGTATATACCCCTTTGGTTGGTTGATGATGCATGGAGGGGATTGTAACCATGGCAATGAAATGTATAACTAATGTTCTCCCATATAAACTATCACATAAACATAATTAACAATAAGACATTATATATATATATAAATTATTGTATGTCAAACACTAGTGTTTGGACATATTCTTACTTATTTAAACTCCATAGCCACCATATAGAGATTATTTCCATTATCTAATTTTCCTTTATTTACTAGATGTTTTGATCATATTGGTTTAAGAAATATATATTTTTTATTTCTTTCTTTTGTATTTTGCCTGTATGTATTGGCTTAAGCTATATATTAAAAATTACCTACAAAACTGGTATTAAGAAACTAAGAATTGATTTTTCTGTAATGACAAGTTAAAAGTATTATAATTTATAATTTATGATTTATCATAAGGTATGAAAATTAAAGTTTTAGGGGGTAAACAACAATACTAGGGGTTAGATTTAAATATAAACATGTATAATCCTTATTGTTTATATGATGTTTAAATGACATTGTCAAGTAAGAGCAACACACGAGCAGTCTAATGGAACTGTTTAGGCAGTGCAACACAGATTTGAGTTTTATAAATTCAATTCTTAACCCTTTAGTTTTCCAAAGAAATTTGTTTCTCTTTTTCTTGTACATAGTAAAATTGAAAAAGAAACAGGAATCAGAATTGAATTCCTTTTTAAAAGTGAAATGTACTCTCCTTTTTTGTTCTTCTTCTCTAAGTAAAGTAATAGAGCATTAACATCACTATATTAAGAGAGTTTTAATTTGATGTTGACCTTATTCCATTCCTCTGAGAGATATAATTTAATTTTAGACATGCCCATGGTGTGAAGTTGTTTAGCAGTTGCAACCTGGATGAATTTAAATATATAATTACACGACCTGAATTTGAATGTCTTCAGAATCAAACTGTTCTAAAAGTTACTTTACAAGGAAGACAAATGGAGAGAAATTGTGGAAATGGGATTTTGGAACCACCAGAACAATGTGATTGTGGCACTCCACAGGTTAGTGATGATATTAATAGCTTATTATAAAATTTGGTTTTATGTTTTTCACATCATATTATAATTATTGATGCAACATAAATAGGTTGTTGTTGTTGTTAAGTTCTATTGAGATTGTTCTGACTCATAGCAACTCTGTATAGGGCTTTTTGCTGTAACACCTGGTGAGTTTGAACTGCCGATCTTGCAGTTCAAACTGACCTTGAGGTTGAGTGCTTATCCTGTGGTGCCAAACCAGGAGTTTGCAACATAAATGAAAGGATATTTATATTTATATGTATTTTTAGTTCTGCACCATTTGATCATGTATCCATAATTGTTTTCCTGTCTAAACAGTTTTATCTTGCACTTAACCAATCATGCACATGAGTCTCTGTGCTATAAATAAAAATATAAAATTTCTAGTTTATGAAATAGATGAGTATGCCTGCATAATGCCAAGTGTTGCTAATTTATACTTCTTGCTTTTTACTGTATATTAAATCCTATTTTTCCATAACTTATTCTGCATATGATTTTGCCAATCTGGTAGGTTTAAATAGATTTTTTATTATGTAACCAGTAATAGTTATAGCATAAATATCAGTGGCATCAATTTCACAGTCATCACTTCCATCACCTCCTGAATTCCTCCAAAGTGACTATACAAATTCATTAGACTACTAAATATTTGTTGTTGGTTACATACTCATCCCCTAATATCATCTCTCGTATCTGTAGACACTTACAGAATAAAAATAATCATAAATCCTGGTTCATTTTAATCAATGCTAAATGTAGGACTCAACAATGATACACTCATGACCTAACTTTTTTATTATTCCTCCTCTTTCTTCTGAGAAGTAAACACTATCCATAAGTTTTATAATGATGCTTTTTTAAGCTGTATTGTAGTTTTTATTTGGTTTCTGTTTTAGAACATGATTAAAAATTTAGAATAATTTACAAGAATAGTATTTTATTACACATATTCTTGATATTATCCATATTATATCATATAGATGTAGTTTTCTGAGTAGCTTTTATTATGTGTGATTATCATTAGGATATGGGAATATGCAATTACTCTTTTATCCTCCAGGGTCCTATTGTGACTCTCTAGGAGAAGAACTGGACTGCTAACTCAAAAGTCATCCACCATGTGCTCTTTGAAAACCCTATATGGGGAGATTATGAGATGAAACTGACTCAGCGGCACTTAACAACAATCTATCCTACTGTTGATGGTTATTTTGAGGGTTCTCAAATAAGTTTTCCTGTCTAAACAATCTTGTTTTATTTTGTGCATAACTCATGATGCACATGATTCTCTGGGCTACAAATCAAATTATAAAATCTCTAGTTTATTAATTAAATGAGTAATGCCTGAACAATGTCAAATCATTGTGTTGGCTTATACTTCTTCCTTTTTACTGTATATTAAATTCAAAATTTCCATAATTTATCCTGTACTTGATACTGCTAGATTTAAATATGCTGTTGGTTTCAGTTTTCTAGTAATATGTTGGGAATTTTTCCATCTATATTTATAAGGGATATTTGATGAAATTTCTTTTCTTGTAGTAACATTATCTTGCTTTGATGTCAGATTAATATAGACCTCAAGAAGTGAATAGTGCAGGTAGCTGTCTTCAAATTTCTTGGCATAAATGGGTGAGTGCCTCTAGTGTTGCATCAATTTGTTGAAATATTTCAACTTATACTCCATCAGATTCTGGAACTTTGTTCTTTGCCAATTATTTAAGTTCACCTAGAACTTCTTCCTTCAATATCATTGGCTCTTGATCATATGCTACCTCTTGAAATGGTTGAACATTCACAATTTATTTTTGGTACAGTGATTATGTATTTCTTCCATTTTCTTTTTGATGCTGTCTGCAACCTTCAATATTTTGCCAATGGAATCCTTCAATATTTCAAGTCAAGGCTTGTATTTTTCTTTGGTTCTTTCAGCTTGAGAAATGATAAGAGAGCACTTCATTTTTAGTTTTCTAACTCAAAATCTTTGCACATTTCATTATAATAATTGATTTTGTCTTCTTAAGCTGCTTGTTGATATATTGTGTTCAGCTCTTTTACCTCCTCCTATCTTCCATTTTCTTTAGCATCTCTACACTGGAGAGTAAGTTTTAGAGTCTCTTTTAATGTCCATTTTGGTCTTTTACTTCTTTCTCATCTTCTTGGTGACCTTTTGTTTCTTTCTGTATGCTTTTTTTTCATATCATTCCATAACATTTCTGGTTGTTATTTGTTAGTATCTATTGTATCAAATCTGTTCTTGAGACAGTCTCTAAATTCAGATAGGATGTGTTCAAGGTCATATTTTGGTTCTTGTGGACTAGTTTTAATTTTCTTCAGCTTCAGTCTGAACTTGCAAATGAATAATTGATTGTCTGTTCGACAGACTCACTCTAGTCTTGTTTAGATTAATGATATGGAGCATTCACATCATCTCATCCACATATGTAAGGAGCTCTGGTAACGTAGTGGTTACAGATCAGGCTGTTAACCTCAAGGTCAGAAGTTTGAAACTACCAGCTCTTCCATGGGAGAAAGATGAGGTTTTCTGCTCCTGTAAAGATTTACAGCCTCAGAAACCCGGCATAGGGTCGCTATGAGTCAGAACCAACTCCACAGCACATAACAACAACAACAACAAATCCACAGATGTAGTGAATTTGATTTCTGAGTATTCCATCTGGTGATGTCCATGTGTATAATCATCTTTTATGTTGTTTAGAAAAGCTATTTGCAATGAAGAAGTCATTGGTCTTGCAAAATTCTATCATGTGATTTCCAGCATTGTTTATATTACGAAGGTCATATTTTCTAACTACTCATCTTTCTTCTTTGTTTCCAACATTTGCATCCCAATCATCAGAAATTATCAATACATCTTGATTGCATGTTTGATCAATTTCAGACTGAAGAAGTTGGTAAAATTCTTCAATTTCACCATCACTGGCATTGCTGCTGTTGTTAAGTGCCATTGAGTCAGTTTTGGCTCATAGCCTTGCCTTTAGTGGTTGGTTAATAGTGATATTAGTTATACTTGTGTAGAGCTTGAAATGTTCTTTTTTATGATGACTGCAATGCCATTCCTCTTCCATTAGTCATTCTCTGCATAGTAAGGGATGTGATTGTCAGATTCAAAATGTTCAATACCTATGCATTTCTGCTCACTAATGTCTAGGATATCAATCTTTATATACTCCATTTCATTTTTAACAACTTCCAATTTCCCTAGAGTACATGTTCAAATAACTAATTGATGTTTACAGTTGTTTCTTCTCCTTTGAGTTGTTACAAAGGGAAATGGCTCATTGGAATGTGGGAATATCTGGAAAATATCATTAATATCACATGCAAGTAAAATTTTTCTAAAGAGAATTCAAAACTTGCTGCAACATTACATTGACAGGGAACTCCCATATGTTCAAGCCAGATTCAGATGAAGACGTGGAGCAAGGGGATACATTGCTGATGTCAGATGGATCTTGGCTGAAAGCAGAAAATACCAGAAAGATGTTTACCTGTGCTTTATTGACTATACAAAGGCTTTAAATTGCATAGATCATGGAAAACTATGGAAAATATTGTGGAGAATGAGTATTCCAGAAAACTAACTTGTGCTCATGAGGAACCTATTCATAGACCAAGAGACAATTGTTAAACAATTGATGGTTTAAAATCAGGAAATGTGTATGATAGGGCTGTATTCTTTCATCATACTTATTTAATCAATTTGCTGAGCAAATACATATATGCATAATGTAGCATCAGGATTAGAGGAAGATTCATTAACAACCTGTGATGTGCAGATGATGTGACCTTTTTTGTTGAAAACGAAGAGGACTTAAAACACTTATTGTTGAACATCAAAGATCACAACCTTCAGTATGGCTTACACCTAAATGTAAAGAATACAAAAAATGTCAACACTGGACCAATAAATAACATCATGATAAATGGAGAAAAGATTGACATCGTCAAACACTTAATTTACTTGAATCTGCTATCAACACTCATGGAAGCAGCAGTCAACAAATCAAGCAACATATTGCATTAGGCAAATTGGTCACATAAGACCTCTTTAGAGTGTTCAAGACCAAAGAGGTCAATTTGAGGAGTAAAATGTGCCTCACTCAAGCCATGTTATTTTCAAAAGCTTCATAATCATGTGAAAGTTGGACAAAGAATAAGGAAGGCTGGAGAAGAATTGATGATTTAATTTATGATGTGGAAAAGAACGTTTAAAGTACCCTGGGCTACCAGAAGAGCAAATCTGCCTTGGAAGAACTATATGCAGAATGTTGCTTATAATTCAGGAGAAGGAAACTTCATCTCTCATACTTTGGACATATTATCAGGAGGGTCCAGTTTCTGGAGAAGGATATGAAGCTTGGTAAATGAAATGCATGTTCAGTGAAAAAGAGGAAGACCCCAATGAGATGGATTGGTGGATTGGAAACAGGAATTGGCTCATGCATAATGATTTGGGGTTTGACTCAAGTCTGGGCAGTGTTTTGTTCCTTTGTGCAAATGTTTGCTATGAATAGGAACCTACTCAAGGGCATCACAACTAAAGTGAGTTAAGAAGTGTTATATCCTCTTCTATTTTTTGGACGAGGTTGAGATAACTGGTATTAATTCTATTTCAAATTCATGATATAGTCTTTTATATTATCTTCTAGAAGTTTTATAGTTTTGTATTTCCATTAGTTCTATGGACAATTTTGAATTAACTTCAATAAAAAGATGTGTTTCTAGATTTAATTTTTTGCAAATCAATATGCTCCATATTTTCTAATATCAATTATTGTAAATATTATGCCTTTTCTATTAAATTTCATTTGTTGTACTCTTTCCTTTACTTGAGGTTTAGAGCCATGTTTTCCAAGCTATTTCCATATCATAGCTAATACAGATCAATATGTATGATTTAATCATACATTGAAGTATTCCTGAATTGGGCTAATCTCTCACTGGTTGACATCTTT